CAGTCAAAGATGTCAGGAGCATGAGTGGTTGTGTTTTACCACTCACTACTTAGGCATTCACCTGTATACCCTTGTTTTCTCTTGTTAGTACATTGCAGTCGTCATTTCCATACGCTCAAAGGTATTACTAATATAAAAATGCACTTTATTATCATCTTAATCAATTATACCTAACATTTTTATATATTTTTGTTTCTGCAAGATGGACCCAAAGGCGTATGAATTACGACAATAATCCTCATTTCTATCTACAAGGGTATCAAAACACGCTTGATCACATGCAAGAAAGAGACATGAGTTTGAAAGCATAGAACCTACATGTTGCACATACGTCTTAATTGTATTCTAATTGTTTTATTTGTGGTAGTTTATATGGAGGTCGTACATTTAATTCCCGGTGCCCAATCAAAGAGATAGCCAAATCTAGAGTTCTACGACTTCTCTTATCTATTTCTATAGTGTTGAAATGCATCAAACAGATAGATTCAAACTCCAGTTTGATTTTGAACAAGAAATCCCTTCCACGCCAAGGTGTCTAAGGGAACACCACGAAATGACGATGAAAAAAGTACAAAAAGTTCATTGGCGAGAATTAAACAAAGACGAGGTGAATGAATGGAAACATAGAAGATATTCGGTTTTGTAGGGGGTTGCGGTAGTTGGTGAACACAAGCCAAGCCAAGAGTATTTAAGTTGGTTTTGTGCAACTCCTTATGTGCATATTATGTCAGACCAATTTTTTACCGACCCTCGTATACAAGGTTCATCTTCAACACAACCAATTGTCGCACCAATGCATCAAGATGTGTCATCAATGTATGCATCCTAATTTGGGGGACATGCATCTTCATCCGCTTAGCATACGTATCATCGCACACAGACCACTGAACAACACACATTCTACGCAACCTCATCCCAACACCAAACTCCTCACACTCCACTCCCTCGACAAAACCACCACTACAAATACAACCAACAATATCAACACCAAACCACCCATCGACCACCCTTACAGTTCACTCCAGTTCCTTCGCCAAACTTTGACCAATCAAACCCCCAATTTCAACAACAAACCTTCAACACTTCATTCTCTCAACCCACCTCCACCTTCACGCCTGATGATGTCTACGTCCCAACCCTCCAACGTACCGAACCCGATACCTACACCCAACCACCACAACCAACACATTCATTCCAACATTTTTTGCTGACGAAGGATCAATTGATGCAAATGCCAGATTTTAACAGTGATGACCTTCTCGCAGAGCAAACAACAACACAAGCAGACCCCCCTTTAAGGCAACCAGACCCCCTAACAACACATCACGATGAAGATATGTCTCATGATTCATCTCAATCACCTACAAGAAATGCAAATGAACCGATGGGCAAGGGATTTCGACTAAAAAAGAGCACTAGGTGTGGAACGGGCGGCCATTTTTGATGTTATGTATTTTACTTATCAATTATCATTACAAAAATTATTGTTTGAATAAATTTTATTTCTTACTATTATTTTTTATTAAATTTATTTTTAATATTAAATAAATTTTTTAATTAATATATAGTTTTTAAATTAATATATTATGTTTTTAATGATTAAAATAATTAAATAAAATATTATACTCATTATATATATATATATATATATATATATATATATATATATATATATATATATATATATATATATATATATATATATATATATATATATATATATATATATATATATATATATATATATATATATATATATATATATATATATATATATATATATATATATATATATATATATATATATATATATATATATATATATATATATATATATATATATATATATATATATATATATATATATATATATATAAGTGCTCGCCAACCTAGTGGACGAGCACCTTCATACACGTCAGTCACTCACCTGCTCGCCAACTAGGATGACAAACACATACTAAAACTAGGACATCCTAATTATTTTGTTTCAAAACAGGGTATTTTGGAATTTATGTTTCAAAAATGGAATACTACAATAAAAAAGTCTGTGGCGTTAGGAATAGTTTGGATTCTGATTGCATGGTGTGTTTGCATAAAAGGTCCCCACCAGGGGCGGTTCTTGGGCCCGGCCAGGCTGGGCACATGCCCAGGCTCTGGGGGGCCTAATATTTTTTTTTTTCTGTTGTTTAAAATAAATAAAATAAATTTAAAAAAAATGGAAAAGAAAAAGAAAAAGAAAATTGAATTCACAGAGAGAAACCAAGCGACGAACCACTGTGTCTACCCACGGATCCGCCATCATCCCTTTCCTCAACTTGTTTCACTACACACTCGCCACCTTCATTGGATTCAGACCACCGACGAACCACTACCCACGGTCGCGCAGAACCACTACTACCGACGAACCACCGTCGCACAGAGAGAAATATAATGCAGACGCAAGAGCAGCGATGAGGTCGAGAGAGAGAGCCGTCGACGAAAGAAAAGAAAACACCGTGAAAGAACGGAGGGAGTCAAGTGAGAAAGTGAAACACGCGCATGTGAAAGAGAAGAAGAGAAGAAACTTATTTTTGCTGTAACTGTAAGTACTAAGTACCATGTCCTTCTTGTTTTTTTACTTTTAATATTATAATAAATATTGTTAAAAAACTTTTTTAAAAAAACTTCACAGTTTCACACACTGTATTATTATCAATGGATTATATATCTGCTTGAAAGTGGGGGTTGGCTTTTGACAACTTTATGGAAAGAAAAGGAAAAAGTTTAGGTGGAATTTTATTATATATTTCATGCTCCAGTTGGACATGTCACGAAAGTACTAGAATTTGTGGGATAAGAGCATCCTGCATCCACATATGATGTATTGAGGGAAATATAAGGCTAATACAAAACAATAAAAACAAGTCAAACATATCTAACAAAAATTAATGGATATAAAACTTCAATTTATAAAAATGTTTAAATCCATACTTGTATATAGTAACTTATTATTTGTGTATGGTTATATAACTACATGCATTCAGATTTATTTAACATACCATGTTCTTCTTATTTTATGCTTGTAAGTTGTAGAATTGAATTTATTTGGAATTGAATTTGCTATACTAAGTGCTTATGGAATTGGAATTGGATTTTTTATGCTAAATTGCTAAGTGTTTATGGAATTGAAATTGAATTTGCATACTATAAGTGCTTATGGAATTGGATTTTTTATGCTTATTATAAATGATAATGAATTCAGTGTTTTTTTTATAAGTGATTATGTTTGGAATTGGATTGATTAAATGATAATGAATTAAATTTTTTTTTATAAGTGATTATGTTTGGATTTTTTTTCCAGAGATGAGGAGATTTTTGGTTGAGTCAGAACCAGAACCACCTCCGTCTAATGTGGTTAATAAGTTTAACCCAAATGAGATTATGCGTGATCCAGGTCATAGGAAACAAATTAATGAGTATACTCCGGATATTCAAGATCAAGTGAGGAGGGCATATATATTGAAAGGTCCAATGCAACCAGAATTGTCAAGCTTTCCTCGTACTCCATTTGGAAGTGTTAAAAGAGCATTTAGTAAATCATGGTATAAGAGTTATACATGGTTAGAATACAGTGAGATCAAGGATGCAACTTATTGTTTTTATTGTTTTCTCTTTAAGAAACCCGGGAGGACCGAGAACTTTGGTTTTGAAGTCTTCACTAAAAACGGATATAAAGATTGGAAGCATGCATCTCAAGGCTTGAAAGATCATGTTGGTAGTCATAATAGTTTTCACAACTCATGTGTCAAGCACTACGATGATTACAATAATCAAAGACAAAGTGTGGCAAGTAAGTTTGTTAAAGCAACCAAGGAATCAGAAGAATTTTATAAGATTCGTTTAACTTGTTCTGTAGATTGTTCAAGATATCTCATTGCACAAGGCATGTCTTTCCGTGGCCATGATGAATCCTCTATTTCTCTAAATAAGGGCAATTTTAGAGAGATGGTAGATTGGGTAAAAGTTAAGAATGAACAAGTGCAAGATGCTTTTGACCGTGGTGGAAAAAGTTGCACAATAATTTCCGGTGACATTCAAAAGGAGCTTGCAATGTGTTGTGCACATGAAGTTACCAAGGTGATTTTGGGAGAGCTTGGTGATAGACAATTCTCTGTGCTTATTGATGAGTCACGTGATATATCCGTCAAAGAGCAAATGGCGGTGATGTTGAGGTTAGTAGTTGTATTTTCCAATTTCTAATTTTCATTACCTATTATTCTTTATGCTATCAAGTAAACTTGTCGAATTTGTTTTAGGTTTGTGAACGACAAAGGGAATGTTGTGGAACGATTTATTGCTCTACATCATGTCAAAGATACAACATCTGAGTCATGAAAGGATGCTCTTTATGGTATTCTTGATAAGTACACGTTATCTATTTCAAGGATACGAGGCCAAGGATATGATGGAGCTTCAAATATGAGAGGTGAATTTAATGGTTTGCAAAGAAAGATTCTAGATGAAAACCCTTATGCTTTCTATGTCCATTGTTATGCTCACCGTTTGCAATTGGTTGTTGTGTATGTTGCTAGTAGTTGCTCATCTATTCATGATTTCTTTGAGTACATCTCCTTGATTGTGACCACAACAAGTGCATCTTGTAAGAGGAGGGATGCTTTGACGGAGGCACAACACCAAGATATTTTAAATAAACTTGAGAGTGGTGAGATATTTAGAGGAAGGGGCTTGCACCAATCATCTAGTCTCATTAGACCCGGGGATACTAGATGGGGTTCACATCATACTACATTGCTTCGTTTGGATCAAATGTGGTCCTCCGTGTTAAATGTGCTTAGTATGGTTGATGAAGATGGACGTGGACCATCTCAAGCAGCAAGTTTGATAGAAAAATGGAGAGCCTTAAATTTGCTTTTATTTTGAAGTTAATGTTAAAGTTGTTTGGTATTACAAACGAGCTTTCACATGTCTTGCAAAGAAAAGATCTTAATATTGTGATTGCCATGGAATTAGTTGATGTTGTCAAAGCTCGGTTGGCCACAATGAGAGATAGTGGTTGGGATGATTTATTTGCTGATGTCCAAGAATTTTGTGTTGCTAAAGGTATTCCGGTGCCAAATATGGATGACGAAATACCGGTTCGGGGTCGTTCAAGGGTGGAAGGAAGAACTATCACTAATCTTCATCATTACCGTGCAGAGATTTTTTATGTTGCTATTGACAAAATATGTGTAGAGATGGATCACCGCTTTAGTGAAGGAAGTAACATTATCCTTGATTGCTTCTCATGTCTTGATCCCAAGAACTCTTTCTCCAAGTTTAATGTTGATAAGCTTGCTCGTCTTGCTGATATTTATCATGTAGACTTTTCTGATGATGGTCGTGGAACAATAAGGGATCAACTTGACACTTATGTTCTTCAAGTGAAAAGAAATGCTTCATTTTCCACTTGTGAAGATGTTCAAAGTTTGGCTATAAAGATGGTTCAAACTGAGAAACATTTGGTATTTCCATTGGTTTACAAACTTATTGAGTTAGCTTTGATATTGCCGGTGTCTACATCATCCGTTGAAAGAGCTTTTTCAGCAACGAAGATTATCAAGTCTAAATTGCGTAATAAGATCAATGATGTGTGGTTCAATGACTTGATGGTATGTTACACCGATCGGAAGATATTCAAGTCACTTGATGATGTTGATATTATTCGAACATTCACAGCAAAGAAGTCTCGAAAAGGACATTTGCCTCGTAATTTTATTTAACATGCTATTGTAAGATTATGTTTCATGATCTCTTTCATCTCTTTTATTTTAGGCAATTTATATATTATAATGTGAATTTACCGTTTTAAAATTTTTTGCCCAGGCTTTTTAATTTTTCTGGCTCCGCCACTGATCTCCTCTATGCTTCAGTTTTCAACCCTCTGTCTGTTGTTCTAGTGACCATTGGAGGATCTCTCTTACTAGATGAAACACTTCATTTGCGAAAGTTCAAATATTTAACATCTTATTATTTTATTTTTAAAGCCTTTTTATATTATTATTTACAACCTTTTTTTCTTCTAAAATTACAGTGGAATAGAATCATTGATAATTGTGATTGGCTATACATTTTGTGGGGTAAAGGTAAGGAATTGAAGAAAATTATTGAGGTTGAACCATTGGAGATAATTACCACAAAGCTTCAAGATGCTAAAAGTCACGAGATTGATGATAATAACATTGTCTTGAAGGAAAACAATTATCTATAACCAGAAGGAAAATGACAAGTTTAAAAATAATCATCACATGGGAGGCATATTCGACGACCATAAAGTGATAAATCATTCATTCTTTTGATTTCTTTGTTAAATCCATTCTAAAGCAATTTCAAACATTGTTATATATAGTAAAGTGTTAACCTTTTGCCTTCAAAATACATTGATGTAGAGTTTGATGAGTTCAAATGTTAATAATATCTTATATAGAGTGCTCACACACCACAATGACAAATTATCATACATCACAAAAATACAATGTGCTTATTCTCTCCATATTTTACTCAAAAGAGACAAAGGTAGAATAACCCAATAAAAATAACAAATTATCCACAACATGGTACACAACTTCAACAAAAGAAGACAACAAAATTTAGTTAAAATAGATCCAAAATAACTAACTAGAACAAAAATCAAATCACTGGGTCGGGGTAAAAAAATCATCTTCTAAAGTAGTTTCATACATATAATCACCACCATCTTTCTCTTCACCGCTTGAGAACTTGTGAGAAATTTTTTCAAAATAATAATATATTAAATGATTATTGTAGCGGTAAAAATCGTGAGTGTAAGCTATTGATTAACTTAACTCAAAAACAAGAGTCGCCACCGCACTTTTATTTTATCTAAATAAAGGAAAGGAAAAAGAGCGAACAAAACCAAAGAGTTCTAAAACAAGAACAAGAAACAGAGATCGGGGTAAGGGGGTTGGTTACGCAATGGGAAGGTGTTAGCACCCAAAATGCAATATCTACGTTTTTTGGTTTGAAAATGGTTTGTTTGAAAAGAGATTGAGGAGATGAGAAGAGAATTATTTTTTAGATTTTTGTGTTTGGAGAGACTTATCGCCTCATGCCTACGTACCCACAAAGTGCAATATAGGATCAAAACTCCGTAGTTCGTGGTAGAAATGACAAAAATTTGTTGGTTTTTGATTGATTTTAAATGTAAAGACAAGTCGTCATTTTAAGGAGAAAACTGCGACTAGTCGCCCACAAGTATTAAGACAACATTTGCGTCACATAAAGATGGAGGATTTGCTTGGATTATCAACAAGACTATCACTCAACATCAACGTGGAAAATGTCAAAGTCTTAATAATATGGGGAATAGGAGAATTACATCTCAACTATAGAAATGAATCATGTCTAAACTTTATGAAAAGTTTTAAAGTGAAAAAGTGCATAAAGGCACAAAAAGAGTTGATGAGTTTTTGTATTTTTTATGTCTTTTGAAATTGGTCAAAGCATGATTAACATTGATTGACTTTTATTAAGAAGAACAAAGTTTGAAAATCACTTGACAAAATTCAAGGTTTTATTGTGAAAGCGGTTTTGAAGTTTGAAACCAAGAAGGTTTTGAAAGAGGGAGAAAGTTTTGAAAATTTAAGAAGGGGAGGAGATGAAGTGACTATCCTAGAAACCAAAATAAGAGCTAGAGGTAAGAAAGATCTAACCGACTTGTAGCACACTCCATAGCAAGCAAAAAGAATTCCATCCGATTTAAAGTATAAGCTAATGAGCGAGCCAAATAAAGGCTAAGATCCACAATACTCCAAGCATAGGAATGAGAGTCCTAATTCTAGGTCCAAAGGTCCATGAAGTCCGAGGTCTAAGAATAGTCCAAGAGCATAACCACAAAGTTAATAGCACCAAGTTTTTTAGAGATTTTTTTATCCTTTATTAGTGTTTTGAACAAGGTATGGTCCAAGTGGACAAAAGAGAAATGACATAAACATAAACAAAGATATGATATGAAAATGATAACATGGAAGCATAGAAGTAAAGAAATAAGGAGTAAGAAGAGAATATAAACAAAATTAAACAAGGATATTGTTAGTGAATTAGTAATTAGTGGTTAGAACATATGATCAATGATGATTAATTTTTGCACTTAGACCAAGGTTAATGAAAACTCATTAGAGGATTGATAGAATCAAAGCCTCCTAACAATGATTTTCATAGGTAATGGACTTAAGACAAACAACTAATCATACTTGGACTTTCAAACATAAGTTTGAGTCACGAATGATCATTTTCCGATTAAGGGACACTTTAGCGCTATGTTAAGCAATCGTAATCGGGTTTATGTAGAAACCACGACTATCTGAGGCCGGTCAATAAAATGTTAGTGTTAACACATGTTAGAGAAGTGATATGTAAATCACTCTCCTAAAACATGCCACACAAAATGAAAAGAGGTAGTGATCTCATCATAATCAAGATTTTTCATCAATTAATCAAAGGTAATCTATCACTATTCCAAAGTACGGAGAATTATCTCAATGATTATTCGTCAATAGATTTGAAATAGTGAAGATTAAACAACCTTGATAATCAACAATCTATGATCCATAGATTTCATCGATCAAAATAAAAAGAAGAAGAATAAGAACTAAAACGAAAAAAAACCTCAATTTGAATCTTAAATCGATTAAAAATCATCATCAATATCAATCACCTCTCTTGGTGGATAAAATCGACACCCGAAGTCCATTGATATTGATGAAATCTTATCAAAATTCAAGATCCAAAACAACTAACCATCAATCCAAATTAATATATTTTTTAAATTAATTTTTTAAGAGTTTTCTTATTTAAAATATAAAACTAGTAACAAGAAAATGTTGAAAGGCCCATACGGCCCAAATTCTTTAAGGAAAAAAATAAAAATAAAATAAAAAAACAAGTGAAAAATGAAAAAAAAAAAAAACAAGAAATAGAAATCAGAAACATTATCTTCTCTGTTCTCAACCGTGACCAGCTCATGGCACCCAGACCATGACGCTCGGGGAGGTTTTACATCAAGAAACTGAGACCAGCTCATGGCAAACACACCATGACGCTCGAGGAGGTTTATCATCCTTTTGAACAGTTATTCAAAGACATCTCTTTTCCTGGCTAATCTCGGTAGTAGATTTCTAGAAGACCTCGGCAGTAGATATTTCTGTTTCATTTCCTGGATAATCTCGGCAGCATATTTACAGAGGACTTCGTCAGAAGTATTTCTCCAGCAAACTTCAACATAGAGTCTCGACGGCAGATTCCATGAAAGTTTTGACAGTAGATATTTTGGCAAAAAGTATTCTCAGATAAGGTTACAAGTCTCGACTGTAGACTTCCCCAGCTAATAATTACATTTTGACCTATACGGTCAGCTCTTCAAGTGGTTTTCTCACCAAACTCTCCATGATATGCCTGAATACCTTGTGATTGTCAATCTTTCCTTGTGGAGTCTCGCTTTGTTGAGCCTGGTTTTTCCCGCGTGTCGTGTCCAGTTCATCCCCCGTGACATCATTTCCTCACAGGACCCTCCGCCTTGCATTTTCATATCATTGCATACCATATGCATTTGGTGGCATCTTAGGGCCAAAAATTCGTGCAATGTTTGTATTTAAGTCCTTCCTATCTCGTCGAGACGAAGATTTCAATCTCCATATCTCCGGATAGAAGTAACTTAAATAGGGGCATCTGTCGCACTCTAATTTTTGACCGTAAAATCCCACCTCTTTTTGCGCATTTTTATTATTGTTTGACTTTATTTTAATATTTATGTTTTTTGCGACTAACCAAATTGTGCAGATGCAGTAATTTCGAGTGGAGATAATATTCATTCTCACGGTCGAGCTTTCCAAGGGAGGACCGGTTGATCATGACTTAAGGTTGTTCTAGGATTTCTACTGGATACATTGTTCCACTACCGAAAGTTCTCCCTTTATTCGTGGGCCATTCTCGGAGCAATATTCTAAAAAAAACATCTCGGGTGGAATCTCTGACTCCCCCCTCTTTAAACCTAAGTCAGGGTATATGCTTAATAAGAATACTTGGAAGATAGATTTCGTTCTTCTCAGCCTCTCAAGTTATTTCCTCGTCAAATCGTCAAGAACGAAAGGCTTGTTAATTTATGGTTACTTTGAATAAAGTGAAAAGCATAAATCGTGGTGCAAAAGAAGAAGTCGTGTTTGTTATGATTAAATTCTCATTTCTTTTACATGTTGCTCTAACCAAGAGACAACGCGGGTTTAAGATTCAAGGGTGATTCGAATTCTACAATTGCAAGTGTCCAAGTTATGAACCTATAGCCCATGTGCAAGCCTTATTGTTTCTCATTGACAAAACCTTAAGTTTTCGGCAAGAAGCAGTAAACGCAATTTCTGTCATGGATTCACAAACTGGATTCCCACAATCTAGGGGGTGTCATTTGTTCTTAATTCAAAGCCAAGACAAAGTGGAATCAGTTTGTTATTGGAAATACGCAAGCATGAATATCCTTTTTCACGAAGTCCAGTTTATTTCGTTAAGTTGACACACAAGAACCTTTGCAGAACGTTTTCTATTCACTGCCACACTAACTAGAGCTACAAGTGCAATCCTGTGAATAAGTTCCAAGGAAATCATGAAAGAATACATCTCATTTGTGTTATTACAATTGGTATACATGCCTCGAAGCAACAACTTAAAGCGCTGCCAAGCTTACAACCAGTGTTCTTTGTAACGCCCCGATTCT